CCAGATGCTTGTGCTTCTGCTGAGCATCTTAACAAACAGAGAGGTTCAAGAGAAGAGTTAGTCCCTTAGATAGGCAGGCCCTAAGCTGTTTAGGTCTTTAGATACTAAACCTTAAATTATGCTGGGTATGCAGATTTTTTAGTACTGGCATCACAAGATCTATGTAACTTGCACTAGTTAGCAGCTTAGCTGACACATTTTACCCTAACTGCTACTTCCTTTTTATTATATATATATTATTCAGTTTTTTAAGAGACACACAAATGATAACACAAGTAATATGAATAATACCAAGGCTGATACATTTCATTTCCTTTAAACTATCGCTGAAGAAGTTATACACCTAAAAAAATTAAACAACTTTTCATGGATAGCCTCATGTAGTAGTCAAGACAAAATGTAACTAAAATGTGGATTATTGCTGCCAAATCTGAGTGGATCAGGACTAGTTGTTTATGCATGAGGTATAATTATGCAAATATCCAGGAGAGTTAGCAGCACCTAACTCTTCCATCCATTTTCCAGTTTAGGTCCTTCACCAAAGTGACCAAAGTAGTTTCAGTATCATATTCCAGCTGAAAGCTTGAGTGAAATGGGTCTAAAAAGCAGTATTGTTCTCTCCCCAGGCCCCCTTTATGTTTTTGAAGTTCAAGAAGGACAAAGAATATTAAAAATACATTTGGAATATATACCAGTGGATTTCTTGTTAAACATTTAGAGCTTATCTTTTAGATGATCCACTATAGTAATAATGGAGGAAACATAGGTGTATAATTTTTTATTATTCAAAGAAACAGAAAAATGGGGAATGAATGAATGAATGAATGAATAAAAAAATAAATTGTAATCCTGTTATATACCGGCCTATAATAATTGTTCTTGTATGTTTAAATATCTCTTTAAATAGGAGTTGCCCATTGAAGATTTATTATTTACACATTTTTCCACTCCATGGAACAGAACTATTATAGTCCTTCTCTTGGGAAACAGATTCTAAACAATATGTCTACGGTAGTCATTTGATGGAAGACTCTTGCTTGTTTGCAGAACGTAACATACTACAGACTTAATGTTTAGATGAAATGTGGGTATTTCATAAAGGTGAATGTTCTTCATTTATTATTTAATTGCATCTATCTGCTCTTCAGCACTGGCTGAAACATCTCCCTGGGGATTACCATCCTGATATAATGGAAGGTGTCTGTAACTCCAAGGACTCTGAAAAGTGACACTCACAAAAGCATGAGCTCCTGGCAGAGCCACCTTTGTTTTATTTTAATTATTTTATTTTATTGGATTTGTTAAGGCCACCCAACTCCAAGAAGACTCTGGATGGCATATAGTAAGTCCAATACATATGTTAAAAACATAACTAAAAATGTCATGACTCCCCAGACCAAAACACTTCCCAACATGCAAGAAAAACACAACTGTCTCCACAGACACACCAACAGAACCAGCTCTTAAGACACTTCTGGAGAACAATGAGAGTGGGAACTGTGTATATATCTGGAGGGGTGCTGTTCCAGAGGACGGGCTATAACAGAGAAGGCATGCTTCTAAGCTCTTTTTCTAAGATGACAGCATTTAATTGATGGACCTGGAGTATACCCACTCTGCCTGAATACATCTAATGGGAAGAAACAACTGGAGACAGAGGTTCCCTCAAATAATTAGGCCCTATCCCATGAAGGACTTTATAGGTAACAGCTATCACTTCAAATTGCATCTAAAAGCCAAGTGGTAATCAATGAAGCTTGCTTAGTAGCAATGACACATGGGCATAACAAGAAGTGCCTGTTACTGCTTGTGCTGCTGTGTTCTAACTCAGCTGTAGCTTTGGGATGGTCTTCAAGGGCAGTCCCATGTAGAGTGCATTGCAATAGTCCAATCATGAGGACTGCATGTGCTTGGATGTGTTGGGTGTGGTTGTTTGGTTGGGGTAAGTCTGTTATGGTGGGAGGAGGTAGGAATGCTTGGGTCTTGGACACCAGAACCTGGGCTGGGAGTGGATTGGGGAGGAGGGAGGGGGGAACAAAGAGGGCAGATGGTGTTATTGGAACTGTGATGGGCAGAGGTAGATATAGTGGAAATCTGAGGTTCAGCCACACTCAGGGGTGATAGGAACACTGTTTGAGAGCTATCCCATGTCTTGCCCTCAGTATTTACCCTCTGGAACAGGTAACCATATCCTTGATGGCCCTGGGCTCCAGCTGTTGTCATTGAATGCATGTGTAGTAAGACTGCCCTCACCTATGTGAATCCATGTGTAGTAAGGCTGCCCTCACCTATGACTCAATTGTGGAGAAAGGTACTGATCTGGCATGGATTACAGGGACTTGGATGGGCCCTCCTGGAAATATGTTCTGTGGGCTTGGGGTTTTGCATCAGCCAATGCTCTTGGGGATGGAGGGTGGGGTGGCTATTGTTATCTGTGAGTCACTGAAGGCTCTCAGAGGCTCTACTTTGCATATAACCAGGTGTGAGACCCTCTGGTTGAGGTTGGGCCTATTGGAACAGTTAAGATTGCTGTTGCTGTATGGCCTTCCCTGCTGTTAAGCAGGATCCTGCTTTAGTTGCTGGATTCCATTGTTGGGTTGGCAATGGTGCCCCTGAGGCTAATGGTCCTTGGGGACTTTAACCTGCCACTTGATGGCATGGGCCCTTCCCAGGTAACAGAGAGCCCAATATACACCCGGGATCACTCTCCAAGGGAGAGAGGCAGTAACAAATTTAGATAAGTTAATGAAGCATAATGATGACGAGAATCTGCATTCAGCCATGGCTTTCTACTGGCTGTTCACATGCAGAAACATAAACACTTTTTGCTAGTTTTCCTGATAAGAAGAATCTGGGAGTAGACATTAGTTTGATTTCTCATAGGAAGTATTTCCAAAGAAAAAGAAGTTTCTGATAGGAAGAATTTCCAAAGACAGAGGAAGTCTGGGAAGGAGAAATGTAAGGAGAACACACAGATTGGAGGTAATGGCTGGAAATTATATGGACCTAGACAGATCCGACTATTAAAAGATTTATGGTCTTAACAGGGAACAAAGTAAGCCTCCATTGGACTGAGCAGTGTTTATACTGCTGAAGGTTTGAATGTTGGTGAATGGCCTGAAGTACATATGGAGCAGGCCACAATCCAGAGAAATGGTAGAAAGCACCGTAAGTCCTGTCTGTGCAACACAGATGGCCCTACTGGGGGCCAAAAATAATGGAAAATCAGAGATTTTATCAGACAGAGAAAAGCCATCTGCCAGTTTGAATCACAGAGGAAATTGTTGCCTATATCTGCAAGCCCTGCCTTAATTCCAAATTAGGAAGCATGTTTTCAAAACAGAGCAATACACAGTATATTAAGCCAACATTACAGAGTTCATACATATCCAAGCAGAAAACACTAATGCAGCATAATAGTAAGTGGAGGCAAAAAATTTCAGTAACTCTGCCGTAGAGAATTTCAAGCAGCTGCTCTTATCTCAAAATGGATAGCAGAAGGGAAGACTAATGGAATGCAGTGTTCTGGCCGTAGATTTTGCTTACAAAACCTGTCAGGGAAATCAGAACTATATGCAGCCTATTTGTTTAATAAA